TATAGATGAAAATTTACAACTTTTTGAATGTTGAATTTCGATTTTTGAATTTTGATTTTTAGGAAATTTGTTTTTCTCTCCTCTCCAGATTGCGTGTGATAACAATAAATTTTAATTAACCATAAAAATCGCAACATTAATGATGATAATGATTATTATAATTAATCGAAACAAGAAAAATATTATCATCCAAATATGCAATGTGTGTGTGTGTGTGTGAAAGCATCCTGTTATTTCAGATTCATCATCATCATCATCAGGTGTTATTATGGTGATGGTGATGATGGCCAATTGATTGTCACAAAAGCCAAGCCTAGCCATTATTATTCATTCATTCATTCAATCATTGATTGACTTTTTTAAGTAATTAACCTGAAAAAAATATACTCAATTCGATTCGTAATGTTTAATGTTGCTGTTGTTAATTGTAATTTAAAAAATTATGCAGGTGCGCAAAATTATCATTTTGTCCTGATTATTGTATGTTATCTTAGACTGTTTTTTTGTTTGTTGTTGAATAGTTTAAACGAGTTGGTTTGGTCATATTGTTTTGTGTTTATCAACTGCTGGTCTATAATGGTCAATTTGATATCAAAAATGATGATGATGATGATTTTTGGATATGCCTGGCTGCTTGATGATCCAAAAATACTCAAAAGAAAAGAAAAAAAAAGAGTAAATTCACTTGACAGTACACCAATTCACTTTGTCGTTTTGACCAAGATGAATATAAAGCCAGTGAGAGAGAGAAAGAGAGAGAAAGACCATCAACATTTTATATCACGCCATCATCATCATCATAATCATTATCATCAGTAGAATATGCCAGGCACGAATCTACAATTCAAACAAACAAAAGACAACAAACAAACAAAAAAAGACTCTTTTCTTTTGATCATCTTTTATTTTTCTGGTTGTCCTGTTGTGTTTCTGGTTCTTCCTCTCTCTCTCTTTCCCTCACTGTCTTTGTGTCACGCTTTATGTTTGACACTTTTCTTCTTTCGTTCGTTCGTTTCACATTGTTCTCTGCTGTCAGTGTGTGTATAATTCTGTTCTGTTTTTTTTCTTCATATTCAGGTATTGTTCAGAAATGGCTGTCACCAATATTGCATTTGTTTAGTTTTATAGATTTCAAACAAAACAAAATCATCTAGAAATAGCAAAAAAAAAGGCCATTGAAAATGGCTATTTTCACACTGGATTCGGTTCAATTGTCATTCATTGTCATTGTAATCAACTTTTGAATGATAAAATGAATTTTGATAAAAAAAAAGACAAATCACATAAACATTAAGAGAGTGGAGGTTGATGGGGGGTTAATATAATGAATTTAATTTGTCATTATAGAGCAGGGTCATTGGATTTTGATTTTAATTTTAATTTGATTTTTTTTTTCATAAATTAGATTCAATAATCATTATGATTTTTTTTAATGGCTATTTTCATCCTACCACTACTTACTTTGTTTGAATTTAGAAATGATTTTTTTTTTTTTGGTCGGACTATTTTTCTACTCCCCTAAATGATGCTGATTGGTTGAAAATGATGACAACAACGATAACGATTTCGACTGTCGACAGTCGATTATTCTATCGCTGTATAGTAAGTGAAGTGTATTACAGCCCATTACGCCATACTTAAAAAGGTAATTGGCCGCGGCGTCATTCGAATCCGATTTGAACATTTTTTTTTTCTTTTTTAACCAATCGGTAACCACCTCCTTCTTCTTCTTTCTCTCCATACCTATTCTCTAAATATATTGCGTGTGTGTAGAGTACTTTAGTCGTCAAGTAGTTTTTCGTTTCGTTTTGTTTGTTCATCATTCATGAATTCTCTTTATATGCCACTACCCGGAATATTATTACAGAACATGATGATAATGGTCTTTTTTCACTCCTCTATCTTTTCCTCTCTTATTTCCCGACGACAATGATGATAATATCCGACCAAAAAAATAAAATGAATGAAATGAAATGATTTCGATGATATTCCATAATGACCTTTGAACTTGTCGTTTTTTTTTGTTCAAATCTAACACCCACACTCACATCAATTGAAAGAAAAAGATCAACATCATTTTCTTGTTGGTTAAAATTCATCATCATCTTATTATCTTTCAATGAAGAAAGAAATTGTTATATTTTGCTTGCTATTTTAGATAAATAACTAAATAACTTCTTTTCTTTTCCTATAATAAAAAAGATGATGACTGATAACTGATGATGACAGATGACAGATGAATACAATTTTTTTTTATTTCCGTCGATTCAATCTCATTGGATTGATTGATCAAAATGTGGATGATGTCTTTTTTGTGTAATCGATTAATCGATTGTGTGTGTGTGTGTGTGTGTGTGTGTGTGTGTGTGAGTGTTAATGATGTAGATTCATTTTTGAATAAAATTAATTGTCAAAATTGAGTCAAAAGTGACACATAATTGTATAACAGATGACAATATCGATGTATGTATGCAATGTTTTATCTGTCATTCTTGTTCTATCGATTGATTAATTGATTATTGGGCGACACACACACACACACTGGCAAAATGAATTTCGATTTTCGTTCTTGTTGTTGACCGGATTCATTCAAAGCATTTTTTTCAAACTGATAGCTTACCGATCTTTTAAAGATTTTTTTCTTTGTATTGTTTTTGTTGCAAGTAATCAATCTTTTTTCTTCGTCGTAGTCGCCGTTGTTGTTGTTCTCAATCACAATTGAGGTTGATCTTATGATCTTCGAAGATTAAGACATCGTTTTTGACTTTACTTTGCTTTTTAGCTTTTGATTATGAAATATTATTAGTTTTTTTGAGAGAAAGAAAGATTAACCAAAAACTGATTGATTTGATTTGATTCGAATCGATTGTTATTGAACAAAAAAAAACATTTTTGCTTATTTTCAAAAATGACGACATTAATCTATCGATTTGATTGACAAGTAATCAGATGTATTTAACTCTCTAAAATGATCTGATCCGATTCTCTATTCATTCGATTGATCCGATTGTGTGATTTGTTTGTGCAATTTGCTGATCTCTACCCCAGAAAAAAAGTAGAAAAAAATACTGATAAGTTTCAAAAACAGCCAAAACCAGGTTTTTGTGAATTTTTTAATTAGTCCATGTCAAACGATAATGATAATAATGATACCACACTATTGCCTTCACTATGTGTGTGGCTTTCAAAGATTTCAAATCATCCGATCGTCGTAAAAAGATTCAAAAAAATCAGATTTTTTCATTCAGTGAATGAGGCCCAATGACAGATTGATTAAACGAATTTTTGCGTCTAAATTCAGTAAGAAGAAAAGAAAAAAAAGGGAAAAATTAAAGGATTAACACAACTGATCATGATAATAATGATGGTAGTAGGTGATCATTAATCTGATTCCAAAATTGATTAGTTTTTTCCTCATCAAAACAAATTCAATTTGAAATTCAACTAATGATTCAACAAGAGATTGGCCGGTCTCCCAAACAACAACAACAACAACAACAAAATTGATTCTCACATTCTGTCAAAAAATGTGTTTTTTGTTGTTGTTGTTGTTTGTGTGCCTCTTTTTGGGTGCCATTTAATAATTTTCAATGAATTCTTACCTTTTTTTCTGGGGTGCCTCACTCACGCAATGATTTTTTTTCCATTCATTCAAATATCGTGATGATGATGATGATAGTGTGGCGATTGAAACAGAGCAGCAGCAGCAATAACCACTTGACCAGAATTTCATCAAAGTTTGTTAATTGTAAATATCCTCTCTCTTTTGAAAAAAATAAATAATTCTTGAGCACCGGTGTTGTTTATATGGATCGAAGGAAGAAGAGTATCATGACCATCGACCATTTTTTTCCGATACTATCGATTATTATCGAGGATTGCGTGCTTTGTTGTTGTTGGTTGTTGATCCAACCAAAAAAAAGTCACTGAAAAAACAAAGAATTGACTTTTGATGCTAAATACATTCATTTTACCTTTTTCAGGTATAAATTGATGACCAAATAATAAAAACGAACGAGAAGATAATGTTGGCAACAAAATGATGATTGTTTGGCACGAAACGTGCCAAACAAATGGCCTTCGTCATCATCATCATCACCATTATCATCGATCGATCCAAAACAATAAAAAACAACAACAACAACAACAAAAATGATGATAATGATAATGATTACAAACAAACAAAACGAAAAAACAACAACAACAAATTATTTTTCAATAATCAAATGATGGCTTAGCTAAAATATTGAGGTAAACACACACACACAGAAAAGTAAATTATACTCAAAAGCAAAAAAACAAAAAAAAACAAAAAAAAATTGATCCAAATGGAACTGTCATAATCAATCATTATGATTCTTGTGTGTTCTTTTCTGTTTTCGTTCGATTTAACAATCGATATTGAACAATCGATTGTTTTTTTTACTGACCTATCGATTCTTGATCTATCGAATGCAGAGAAGAGAAAGAAAAACAAAAAAATTATCAATTGCTATTTGTCATGATATTCAATCGTTGATTTTTGGCTCATTTTCGATTGCATTGATTATTCGATCGATCGATCGATAATGATCATTATAATCGTTTTTTTTTGTTGTTCAACATTTTCGGACATGAAACATAATTTCATTTTGGTCAATGAAATTACTATTTGTTTTCGATTCTGGCTTGGATTCCCCCAAAAAAACAAAAATTCGTGATTCAATTATGGAATTTGTTTCTCGAATTATGAAACAACAACCAAAAAAATTATTGTTATTAACACAATAATGAATGGTCGAAATAAAGGTTTGACCGATCATTTAAATTGCAATACACATTGAAGATTGAAAGAAAATTTTTTTTTTTTCCAAATTTTTCTCTTTTTTCTCTTTGCACATCATCAACAAACATGACAAACAACAACAACAACGACAAAGGTTTCAATGTCGAAATGAATTCAATTCCACCACCATCGCTACCACCACCATCAATGACAATGATGACAGGAATTGTTGGTGGTGATTCGATGAAAATTATCAACCGATCAATTCAACAACAAACGCAATCGCAACAACAACAACCACCACCTGCTTATAAACGTAATCAAATGATGACAAAACGTATTATTTGGGGTAAAGAAATACCACATATTGTTCAACATAATCATCATAATCATCATCATCTTAATCACCATAATCATCATCATTTATCATCATCGACCAACAACAACAACAACACGGGCAACAATACACAAACATTCGATAATTATGTAATGATTTTGGGTTCAAATCCATTGATTACAATACGACCGATTAATATACGTGATGAAATGGCAACATCATCTACTTCATCATATGGTGATCCATATACAAGTCGTGTATTTGAAATGGATAATCTTCGTAATTATTTTCAATTAAATGAACCAGAATCATCAACATCATCCACTAATCATCATTCATCGTCATCGTCGTCGTCAATATCATCGTTATCCGCAACAACAACAACAAACCCAATACGATTTCGTTATGAATATTTTCTTTCATTATTGGATCCAACAATGCCACGTCTGACTAATTGTGGAAATTATTATCGTATGCGTTATGCTGTTTATGTTGCTATTAAAAATTCAGATTCATTTGGTGGTGGTGGCGTAGGTGGAATAGGTGGTGGCAATATAGATTTTAATTCGATAACAAATGATTGGCGTAATAAACAATATCAACAGCAAAAAGTATCACAACAATCATCATCATCATTATCATCGAGTAAACGAAAATTGGTTCATATCGGTGAAATACATTTGTATACGATTGTACCAGAATCGATTGTATCGATTGGTCGTCGTTATTATAATAATCAACATTCGATTGATTATCATTCGAATTCGAATTCTACTACTACATCGATTCTACCATCAATTCATTATGAAAATATTAGTTTTTTTTCAAGTCAAATTCCATTAAGTCGTGAAGAATTACAAGTTTTACAATTATCTAACAACAACAACAGCATCAGCAATAACAACAATGGAACAACAAATGGCCAATCAGATTTTACATCAATTGTTAATCATTTTCGTAGTTTTCTTAAATATCTTAATACGATTATTGTGACAGTTTCGAATGAAAATCATCATATCAACAACAATGTTGGTGGTGGTGGTGGTGGTGGTAAACAATCATATCGTTCAACATGTTTATTAGAACAACTTAAATATCCAAAAATTATTGAACAATTTATAAATCCGGATCGTATTTTTCATCAATTTAATCGTATACAATGTACAATGCTTACAAAATATTTATCACAACAACAACAACAACAATTTCAACCTTTACAGCCATTGGATGTGGTAACAGCGTCGGCGGCATCAACATTATCATTATCATCGAGTGTTGTTGAAAAACAACTACAATTAAATGGAACAAAAACATCGACATCAACAAACGAACCGGATATAATTACTGAAGAAATATTTGTTCAAAATCTTATACAATTGATGCCAACATCATCCACATCATCATAATCATAAATGAAATGAAAAAACTGTCATCATCAATAAATTTTTCAGCAAAGGGATTAATTATATACCTGTTTGTTCATTTATTTAATTTCAGATATTATTATCCATCAACAACAACAAAACAAACATGATGATGATCATCATCATACATTCATCATACGTCAAACGAGTGAAAAACAAAAAATACTCATCTTGATAAAATAATCATCATACAGCAACAACAAAATTATGATGAATGAATGAAAAACACACAGAAGAAAAAGAGAATCATTTATGATCATCATCATTGCATTAATGTCTTTTTCTTCTTTTTTTCGTTTGTTCGTTCATAAATATATTTTGTAAATGAAATGAATGGAATGGATTTGACAACAACAACGACCAAGATGACTTGATGATGATGATCATACCAACCAGCCAAACAATAATGTTTTTTTTTCTGGTAAAATGAAAGAGAAATTTCGTTATGTTTTTTTGAAGAAAACGCCCAATAATGTTTCGTTTTGTCGGTTAATAATAATAATAATCTTTCGTTTCGTTTTGTTTCGTTGGTTGGACTTTTTTTCCCGTTCACCACTATATATACACACTTGGTCTTTGGATCGTCGGTCGGTCGGTTGTCATCATCATCAATTGATGATCAGAAAATAACGTCATTCATTTTGATGATGATGATGATGATGAATAACGAAGAAAAAGCTTACCATTATATATTATTAACCCCCGATAATAATCAGCCAAGGTTTTTTTTCGATAATATTGAAGCCAGAAAAAAAAACGTAAAATTTCATTGATTAATTTTTGACAAAAAAAATATTCTTTACATTCGAATTCGAATTCTTTGAATATTCAAAACGTTCGAATTATCCTTCTTTCCACACTCATTTAACGTTCGAATTTTTTTTTTGGGGGGGGAGGTTCATTTTTCGGATTGATCGTGTGCCATATTGTTTGTGTGTATTTCTTTCGATGAATCTGCTTTTTTTCCAATCTAATCTACTTTTCAATTGTTCAAACGACACAATTTATGACATTGTTCGACGATCATTCACTCACTGAAGAAAATAGAAGATAAATAAAATGGATGTCGATGATGGTGGTCGCCAGATAATCAACAAAGAAAATGATGAAAAATATTAGAGAAAATAGCCATGATCATAATGATTGAAAGAAAAATAAAGATACTCTAAAATCAATGGAAGTACAAGTGAAAAACATTGAATTTTATCAACAACCAAGTATGGTACCTAAAACAACAAATTGTTTTTTTTTAAATGCACAAAATTTAAAAAGATCAACGTTTTTTTCTGTTCTATTTTTGTCATTTTTCTCGTTTTGATTTTTGTTTTGTTGTTTTGAAGTTTTTGATCTTATCCCTTGGACAATACTATTTCCGAATTCGAATCGAATACAATAACATTTTATTCGATACTGACATCTATTGATTAGAAAAGTTACTAATCTGTATTTATTTTTCAAATAAAAGATGGCAACACTTGGCTATCAATTTTTTTTTTTTTTTGAATTTTATTTTCTCACCATGTAGATGGCAGCAATCATTATTACCAACATTATCAAATTTAAAAAAAATTGTAAATCTTTATTACAAATTTAAAAAAAAAACGATAAGTAAGTTTGATTAATAATTTCACAACAACAACAAAAAAAAGAAATGACATTTTTTAACAATTTAAATATGAAGATGATATTTGTGAATCATTTGTAACAAATGTTGATGGTGATGATGATGATGGTGGTGGTGGTGGTGGTTTCAGAATATCCAAATAAGAAGCAGCAGCAGCAGCATTATTATCATTTATAAATAAAATATTTGTTGAATCAAATAGATTTTGTTGTTGTTGTTCCATCATTGGAATTTGATAATAAGTTCCAACATTTGTTGTTTGACCATTAAAATCGTTTCGCAATGTTTCTTCAACCAAATTCGTTGTTGTCGTTATCGGTGTTTCATTGATCCGACGAGCATTTTGTCTAATCAACCAAAATGTCGTTACAACTAGTAAAACTTAAGTAAAAAAAAGGATTAATAAAAAATAACAGAAAAGAATCTATAGATAAGCAAAAATTACAAACTTACTTATAATGTTTGTAAATATAATGATTGAAGCATAGATTAAAAATGTTTTACTATTTGTTGTTGATTTTAGCCATTGTTTGAATGATGAAAATGAAGATAGAATATCGTTATCGTTGCTATTAATGGATTTTGAATTATTTTTCAATGAAAATGATGAATGAGGCCGGTTATTATTATTGATAGTTTGATGATGATCATCAGAATTTGAACATAAGGCACCATCACCACCATCGTTAATTGATGAACAACCATTAGATAATTTACGTTGATTGATTGTTGATAAATCGGAAGCTTTTGGTCCACCAACAGCAGCAGCAGCAGCAAAATGATCGAGTGCAATAACTGCATTAGCATTACTGCTATTTAAATTACCCGTTCCGAAATTAGCTTCTGTTCCGTTGTTATTATTATTATTATGGAAAAGTTTATTTTTTCCTCCATTACCACTATTACCAACAATATTCCAATCAAATGAATAAACCAATGTTAATGTTGTTTGATCTTCATATACTAATGATTCATCAGATGATGATTTGATTGAATCACGAACCGAATCACGTACAACCACATCTAAATAACAAATTGTTTCAGATTTTGTTGTTGTTGATAAAATGTTACTGGTAGCAGTAATCAAACTGGATTGATTATTATTGGTCATTGACATTTGATTATTAACTCGATCGATTGATTTATTCATAGAACCACCGGTCAGAATATAATCTCGTAATTCAGATTCATTACGCCGGGTTCCATATAGTGTTCCACTTCCGTCTATATTTACAACTGGGAAAAAAATCAAGAAAGAAAGGGAAAGGGAAAAAGCAAGAAAAAAAAAGGTTTTGTAAAATGTTCAGTTTGAAAAAAAGACACAAAAAGACCAAAAGCAAATCAAATTAAGCTGTGTTTTTTTCAGTGAAACAAAAAATGTTTTTTAAAAAACAAAAAGAAAAAAATTAAATGAAGATTGATTGTGAGAATTTTTGAAAATCTGAGCCAAAAAAAAAGAATTTAATTTTCAAGCTTTTCTATGATCCAAAATTCCAGTTGAAACAACCAAACAAAAAAAAATGATGATGCATGTTTGGTTGGATTATAGAAATCATCATTTTCAAAATTTTTCATTCTTTCATTTCTCCCATTCACTCAGTCTATGTTTTCATTCAAAAAAAATGGAAAAAAATCAATTTACGAATGGATTGGATAGTGTGTTTGGAGATAGATAGAGAGAGGGATCGGAGAACGAACTTAACGAACGAAAGAATAAAAAAAAATCAAACNAAAAAAAAAAAAAAAAAAAAAAAAAAAATGGAAAAAAATCAATTTACGAATGGATTGGGTAGTGTGTGTTTGGAGATAGATAGAGAAGGATCGGAGAACGAACTTAACGAACGCAAAAAAAAATCAAACAAAAAAATGAAACTATAAGCCAGAGAGAGAGAGAGAGGGAGTCATCATAATGACATTAAAAAATAAAAACAGCCGGAATAAATTCAGTGGTGGCATCATCCTTTTTCTATCGAAATTTTCATTTTTTTTCTTTTTCATTTTTGTTTGAGTAAAAACCCCAAAAGAACTGAACTGAACTGATGATAATGATAATGATGACGACGATATCACTTAGTCAGTCAGTCATCATCATCGACTAACTAACTAAAATAAAATTTACTAAGAGAATTTTTTTTTTTTGATTTTAAATTAAATTTTCTTTCATCATCATCATCATTGTAGTCGTCGTCGTCGTCGTTGTCAATGATAAATATATATAAAGACGGTGGTTTTGGTTGGTGGGATTTGTGGTTGCTTTGGTGCCACACACACATTCCTATGAACGCCAACAACAAACGTTGATTGATTGTTTTTCTTTGGATATTTCTTTGGGTGCAAACACACACAGAAGCAAAAAAACGTTCAAAGAAATTCTTATTCGGGAAAAATTATTGATTTTCTCCGTTTCCCAAAATAAAGTAAACGTTATTGATATTTGAAGAATAATAATGGATGGCTGAAAGAAAGATTTTTTGATGATAAACTTACCAATATAAAAACGTTTAAATAATGGACAATCAGTTGAATTAATAATTTCATAATGATGATGATTATTTTTAGGTAAATCATTATCCAATATAAAAAAGGTAAATATATTTTCATCTTCTTGTTGTTGTTGTTCATATTGTTGTTGTTGTTGTTGTTGTTGTTGTTGATTATGATGTACAACAACATTCATTTCATTTAACCTTAATGTACGTGATGGATTCAAAAATCTTGGTGGATTATCATTAATATCACCAATATTAACTAAAATTTTTGTTTCATCCCAAAGACCACCAGCATCAGTAGCTCTTGCAATTAAATTATATTCAGATTGTTTTTCACGATCAAAACAACAATCCAATACGGTTAACACTCCGTTATGTGGATCAATTTGAAATAAATCCGTTGTCCATTTTGATTGATTATTTTTATTATTATCATTGGCAATTAATGCAGGTGATTTAATTAATGAATAAAGAATTTTACCATTATCAACTAAATCAGCTTCATCAAAATCCACAGCATGTAATTTCGTAAGAATTTGTCCCGCAGGTCCATTTTCCATTAATGTTGTACGATATAATTTTTGTTCAAACAATGGTTTATTATCATTAATATCCCGAACTGTAATGGCTATATCAGCCATTGCTAATATCATTTGTGTTTGCCGGTTACGAGCTTGTATGGAAAAACGCCAACGTGAGCGACCTATGTGTGTCAAAATTTTTTAACCCTTAGTTTCTTTTGAAAAAATCATCAAAAAAAAAACATACCATTTGGTGGATCACGATCCAATGGCCGTATAAGAAACAATTCACCAGTTGTACGATTCAATGCAAAATATTTAAAAACTTGAGCATAATCATCGAGTTTTGTATCAATTATATAATCAACTTTTATATTATTCAATAGATTATTTATGGATTGATTATTTCCATTATCATGATAATGATTATGATCTGAACTTATTGATAAATTTAATAATGATTTTGGCATATTTTGTTCATTTTCTTCCTCTTCGATTGCCAATACATAAATTGGCCTGATAGATGATGGTGGTGGTGACTTGTTGTTACCACCATTGCTGCTGCTGCTGTTAACGGTGGACGATTGATCGCCTATGATGGAATCGAATGGGGGAGGGAAGAGAAAAAGAAAATTTGGTTGTTATTGATTAATTCCATAGAATCAAGTTTAAAATATAGAGAATTCTTAAGAATTTTTTTTTCAAGAAAATCGTGAATGGCAATGGCATAAATGACCAAATTAGGGAAAAGAAATTCTGTTCTTCTTTCCTTCTGCATTGAGAATTTTTCAAAATCAGAATTTATGAATTTCAAATGAAGATGTGAGAAAGAAAAAAAGTGAAAAAAAACAACAAAATCGGAATAATCTTTTCACATTTAAAATTCTGAGAAGAAGATTGAGAGATTGGCGAAAATCTTTTTTTTCCAATCTTTTTTTGTTGTTGTTGTTTTGGATTTTGTCATCATCATGATGATCATCAGGATATTGTCTGTCGAATGATTTTCAAACAAACAACAAGATTTTGTTGTTGAATAATTTGTTATTCTCGCAGAATAAATCTTTTCTGGTTCTTTCTTTTGGAAAACATCATTGTTGACATTGAATGAATGAATGAATGGTGATAGTCGAAAATGATGTCAAACAACAACGACATTTAATTTTGTTGTTTTGCATAATTTTTTGTTTTGTTTCAATCATTTGAACGAAGTTTCTATTTTGATAAATATGTTTCCGTTTGCAAGCAAATCTTCTTAAATCTCAACAACAACAATATGGTGATTTTTTTTCTGGCTATTTTTGTCTGTCTGTTTTTGTGAACATTTCCGGAAATTCATTGTCAGATTCATTTATTTCAATTGAATTTGAAAAAAAATAAGAAAATCTGTCGAAATAGAAAAAAATCTGTTCACATACATCATTGTTATTCGCCTATTTTGATCCAAGTTGATACAAAAAAATTTTTTGTTTTGCTTTTTTCCAAGGAAAATAACATATTAAAAATAGTGACTTAAGATAGACTTGATTGGATGACGACAGTTATATTTTTTTAATGGAAACAAAACAAAAGAAAAAAACTTTTGTTTTTTTCGTTTGAATAACCCCACAAATAATAATAATGTTTTCGAAGAAGGTTATTATTAGTTACTTCAAGTTAATAAGAAAAACCAATAAACCAATAACCAATAAATATTCTCAGTTTTGATTGATCGATCTGATTGATTGATTGATTGGATTTGTATTGGGTTGGATTTTTTTATGTCTGTGTTTTTGGAAATAATTACTTCAAGTTTGTTAGTTAATGAAGCTCGAATATGCAAAAACAAAATAATAAATGAATCGAGCATTTTGATTGCATTTCTCTTTTTCACACACTACTATTGTTCAAACGGGTTAATTTTTGGAAACAAAACAAAACAGAAAAACATTCTTCTGACATTCATACATTCATTCATTCATCTATTCTGACCCTAATATGTGTAAATAGTGTATTTTTTTCGCATTCAAAAAAAAGGGTGAATTTAAATTCTTTGTTTTTCTGTTTTTCATTGCCGAAAAAACAAACGCAAATTCAAATTCATTTGGAATTTTTTTCTTCCCATTCGGTTATTTAATGTTTTATACAGAGCCCAAATGGTTAAAACAATGAAAATAAAGAAGAAGAAACGAAAAAACCATTGTCACCAGCATTAATTGGCTAATGATTTTAGTCTCTCTCACAATTTCTTTATTTTTCTTCGTTTTTTTTTCTTTCTGCCTAAAATGTACCCTGTATGCAGTGGTAGTCCTATAGGGGAAAGACAAAACGAAACGAAAAGAAGAAGAAAGAAAGAAAAATTAAAAGTATTTTGATGCATTCATTAATGATGATTTTCTATAAAAAGCATAGAAAATGCATTGCAGTGAAGATAGCATTTCAGGGCAGAGGCAATCTGTTTTTGGAGTAAAATGTTTGTGTGTGTGGCACATTGAATGGATACAATCTTAATAACAGTTTCTTTTCTTCGCTTTCTTTTCGCTCAACAATTTTACATTAAAATTCATTGACAAACCATAAATTAATGGCAGAATATATATTCACAAAGGAAGAAAACAAAATTCGCTTCGGAGAGAAACCTTGCTGTTTTTGCTTGTTTTCTTCTTCTTTGACTACAATTTCAATCTGATCACAGAAAATTGATTGAATCAATATTATCATTAGCAGGCAAAAAAGGCATAGAAAAATTCATCAACTTTTCAATTTGTATTTACAAATTCAAAATGAATTCATACGTGGTTTGTTTGTTTATTTTATTTTATTTTATTTTTGCATTAATCTCTGTATCAACAACATCCAATTAACATTGAATATTGAAACGAATGAAGGAATGTTAATTAACACGTTCGCTACCAGCATCGTCCATTTGCTGTGGTTCCAAATGTGTTTTTTCCAAAAATTCCGGTAACGAACGTGTTAAATCAATCAACTAAAAAATATTAATTTCAAAATGAAGTTTGCTTTTGCATCAATCAATCAATTTATGATTGCACATTTGAATATTTGGAAAATTTCAATAGAAAAAAACAGCGAATGAAAATTCATGTGACAACAGCGAAATAATGATGATAGGAATTACAAATGAAGAAATTGACAAAAAAAAAACATTTTCAATGGAAAAAAAAGAAGATTTCCATTAATTAGAATATTCATTATCATCGCGAATCTAGGCAGAAACACACAAAAAAAGTGATTAGGAACCAGTAAAAAAAGTTAAAGAATTTTTCACATAATAAAAAAAAAGAAATTAGTTTGAAAAAAAGGGAGCAAATCAAAGTAAAGCCAGTGATGCTTTAGAAAAAAAATTTTTTTCCATCAAATATAGCTTATAGCGAAAAAAAACAGAAACAAATAGCATTCAGGGAATTTGTATCATAAGGCAGAATATTCTTGCTTCTCTTTATTGCTTCTCTCTGTGTGTGCGTTTTCAATTCAATTATTCTAAAGAATGTTTTCAGAGAAAATAATCACATTTTTATTTGTCGATTTGAATAAAACTTTGTGTGTGTGCGTTTCACAAAGATTGACTGACTGACTGACTGACTGGCTAAGAATAGATTTGATAAACTTGTCACTGTGTGTGTGTGTGTGGGTGCGAGGGGGTTAAAAATTACTTTTACATTTATTTTAGCATCCTAAAGCAGCAAAAAAGACAATAAAGATTCAATGTTACGTAATGTGTAACAGTAGCAAGTAGCAAGAATCTATGATTAATTAAATTTATATATTCAGTCATCAGACCTTTTTTTTTTTGTTAACCCCATCTGTTCCATCTGTTATTATCATCACATTTTTTGTCTTTTTTGTTGTCTGCTGTTAAATTGTTTTTTAACTATACTAATTTATTTCAATTAACATCTCTATCAATGATCAATGATCAATAATCAACGATGATGATAGTCGATAGACGCTGAAGCATCAATACGTAAGGATGTCGCTTTTTTCAAAAAATATATTCAAAAAAAAAAGAAAGTTTTTTTAACTGATTTGCCGACCAACAAAACATTAGAATCATCATCATCGAATAAACTCTTCAACTAACTAACTGCCTGAACACCATTTGAAATTGATAAAATTCAACAACAAAAAAAAAAGTTTTAAATTGGAAATTTTCTTTTTGTTGTTGTTGTTTGTCTGTGTGTGTTCAGGTGTTCAGGTAGAAAATAAATAAAAGAAAAGAAATCATAATTTGCGATTGTGATTTGCAATTTGTCGATATTTTGTTCCGGAGAGAGAATTGAATGAATGAATCAATCACAGAAAAAAAAACATCTTAAACGATTTTCTGTGCAGACAAAATGGATCAATTTTCT